TTGCTTGACTTGGACTCGTGAATAGTTTGGTTAAAGATTAGACTCGAACTCTGCGTTAATCGATTTCGAGAAACTTGATAAGGTAATCGAGTTAAGTTAGAGTAGAAAAAATCAAAATTCACATACTCATCGAACCTTATCGAATAGTATATTTATAATAAAGTTTTTAATTATTTTTATAAAATTATGAAAACTCACTAAAAAATCGAGGTTGAAAACTCGATTGAGCTCAATTTGGTCGAATTCTAACTCGAATAAGGTAAATTAAGCTCGAGTTTGAGCTCGAACTCAATTTTAAAGAACTTGATAAACTCAAACTCATTTTTTTTATTAGAGTATCGATTCGACTCAATAGCGGCCCTATCACTCATGAAAACGTAACTATCATACATCTTGCAAAAAGTTTTATGCCAATGAAATGTATATGTGTAGGATAAAAAACAAGAAACCCCTGTAGTAAATCTAATTTATAGAAAAGTTTTTTATGGTTTTAAAACGTACAACACGATACTTCATGTTTTGAATTAGATTGTAAAGGTGACGGAATTCGGCGCGACATAATTAACGGGGATGGACAAAATGACAAAAATGCTCTGATATAATTAAACAAGAGGCAACTCAATAAAATCATTTGTTTCATTCTCTAGAAAGAGAGAGAGAGAGAATTGGGGTTAACGGATTCCATCATTTTTATAATTTAGTTCAAAACATGAAGTATTGTTTTATACGTTTTAAAATCACGGAGGGCTTTTCTGTATATTAGATTTATGATAAAAGACTTTTTTGTTTTTTACCCATATATGTATAATATGTATAATGTAGTCGCAAAATCGATAATCAATCACTTCAAGGCTATAGCGAAAATTACACCATCATTATAAAAAAAAAATTGCAAATAACAATTTTCACAGTTGTTGTCTACATCTTATTTGCAGTACATGACACAATTTTGGAATAAACAAAACAGTTCTCTAACTCTTTACCATACCAAAACTGACAATCTTTGGGCTACAGTGTGATAGTACTATTCTTATAATCAATCCATACCATCATATATGAACATAGGAGGTGAAAGAAAAGTAAATTCTTCCTCCATTGGTGGTAACGCAAGAACATTACTGTTATAGGATGCATCCAATATAAAGGGCTGGGTCCAGAAACTCTCAAAGGATTCAGCAAATGAATATTCCACTGAACTATTGCTGTCAGAAAGGCTGGAATCACAAATTAAAGACGACATTTTAGTATCAGCAACAGGTGCAGCAGCAGCAATGTTAGGCTCCATTTCTCTCTTATCATTGGAATCAGAATCAGAGATCGCAGCAGATAGCTTGATTTGATTTGCATCATGCATATGCCCGGTTTTTTGATCACTGGTTTGCTTGATAATTTTGGTTGATCTAGGATCTTGATTAATGCGTTTCCTCAGACGAGTGTGCCAATAATTTTTTACTTCATTGTCCGATCTTCCAGGTAATTTCCCAGCAATGGCTGACCATCTGTAGCAGGAAAAACATCATTTCAGTTAGTACTTATGACCTAAACATCTTTTGAGCCCTAAAAACATGGCAACAATTACTGTAACTAATAACGGCAAAATCATACCTGTTCCCTAATTGCTCATGTAGTTTGATGATTAGATCCTCCTCTTCAACGGTATAGTTGCCCCTTTTCAGACCAGGTCTCAGGTAATTCATCCATCTCAATCTGCAACTTTTCCCGCACCTGGAAAGCCCTGGCAAAGATCATCATCTTATTAGAGGAGGATACACAAATTCTTGCATTTTAAGCTCCTAAATCACTTAATTCTGACTAAATTATAAGAAAAAAAACTTTAGGGAAAAAGTTAAGAAAAGAAATTGAAATTTTCTTATCTGTGGTCCTACTTCACATAATTTTCACTAAAATTCTAAGACAACAAATTAAGGAAAAATAAAATAAAATTTTCTATTTGATCTCCTCTCTTCCATAGACTAATAATACACAGAAAAAACATTAATGATCATAGATACCAGAAAAATATTGCTACCAGATTTCTTTTGTGTATGCTTTTCAAGTCAACTAAAAAAATTTAGAAGTAGAAAGGGGAGGAAGAGAAGGAAAGATGGTGGTAGTGGCCGGGCGGTTGAGAAGGAGGAGGACTACAAAGAAGTTATAGATCCTTAGTTCTTGAGTAATCCTGACCAGCGAACTTAGGCAGCTGACGCCAATTCCAGTGGCCATATCTTAGAACATAGGCTCTCAACTTGTTGTCTTCGTCTTCACTCCATGCACCTTTCTTCAGCCCCTTTTTGTCAATATATGGGGATCTTACCATGTTGCTGATTCTCTCTTTCTCCCTGGCTCTCTGATCAACCCCTCTTAAAGAAAGTAACAGTCCAAACATAACATATTTATTGTGGTACAAATTCCAGAAATGAAATATTCAGGTCAGAAATCGTGTTTGTTGTCCAGATGGGGTAGTCCGTAGTCAACTACAAGATTCCTTCAGTTAGTAGGTTCTTTATCATTCTAATACCACATACGATAAGACATACGTGCTTGTTTGTAATAGGTTCTCCTTTTGTTAAGTAGATTATGATGAAGCTAATTATTCAAAATCTATTGTAGTCGATTATAAAAATTATTTTAACAATAACAGTTCTTCATGCACGCTATATGTGTAAAAAATTGAAAATTAATTTTGGATAGTGATTATATGCCATGCATTCAGACTTGCAGGGTAAAAAGTTTATTACATTGTGTAGGAAAAGTAGACAAATTTTTGTTTAGAATTGCTTTTTCTAAAAGGTATATTTGGTATGTTTTGAAAAGGTAAAAGCTGTATTCAAAAGCATTTTGCTGGTTGTTCTCACAATAATTTCTTTCAGCTTAAAATAAATAAAAGAAAGAGCCAAAGTCAGTCAAGCCAATGGCAAAACATATTCTAGCTTGAAGAAAAGGCATTTTCTAGATTAAAGTCTAGATGTGAACAAACCCTAAGCGGACTTAAAATCTACCTTAAAGTCCTGGTGATTTGCTTCTAATAGTTTGAAGTCTAAATTGTCGTATTCTTCACTCTTACTTAGATACTATTACATTCCATTTGGAGGAATTAAGACTGCAAATCAAGTATAATTCGTTAGGAAAAAACGATGAATTGAGAATTAATGGGAAGAATTGAACTTTTGAGCCATTGGCTGTGGAGTAGAAATGTGACCTAGAAGACTTGGTATGACACTATTTAATTGGATTCCCATTGGAAATTATTTTGAGTCAGCTGACTCTGACAGCATAATGGATAATGAAATTTTAATATCTATTTGAAATTGGTGTAAGTTCATCAACTGATTGAAACAAGTGTAAAACTGGAATTGGTGAATCAACGCAAGTTTTCTAGTCCACTTCATGATTTCTCCCTCTTTTAATTTCTCAAAGATGACAAGCATCAGAAGACGTTAACTTTAAAAAGTATTTTACTTTTGTTTTTAACATTTATCATTTTTGCTCTTTTTTGCCCTTGTCACTGTCCAAACAAATGAACTTGAGATCCGGATTCTCTCCGGTTAAATTTTGATCCGCTGTTAAAATCTGTTTACATGTTTCCTGGTGGAGTCTTGATGAATAATTAGAAATCACAATTAAAGATTCAAGAAACATGATGATTAATATCAATGGCTATGCTGGTGATTAAACTATGAGAAAGGTACATAATACTTCACTGCCGCTAAGTATTTCATTTCAAAGAAAAGTTTTTCTACATATTTGAATTGAAAGAATCCTATATGAAAACTTACATCACAAGTCACAACAAAGATCTACTTCACTTGGAAGAAACTTCCTTTTTCGTCTTATAGCCAGATGGCTCCTCTAAAGATAAGCGAGTAAATTTCAACCTGCATGCGTCCGAGACATCCTAAAGATCATTCTATCTACCTGGTCTACAGAGACCAACTGCTTAACAAAAACACTTTGATCTTGATGTAGCATCAACTTCAAACATTACATTTTGCTTGTGGATATTGTCATTTCCAAGATATTGGTTATGGTTGTAACAGATTGAATTAATGAACCACGTTAGCGACGAAGAGAGAAAAGGAAAATTGAAGTGAAAATTTGTTATACCACAAACCGGATGCCAAGTTTTTCCTTTTTTTTTTTGGCCACTTCTTGTGACCTATAGAGTTTAAATCTGTCCCAAATTAAATGCACATCTTGTAAACATTTTAGATTCAAATCCTATCACTTAAAAAAAAAAGTGCACATCCTGTGCTTTTTTAAGTAACGGTTCTAAGAAAGCGAAATGATTCTATTGAAATAGCTTAATTTTACAAATTTGACAGAACTTTTCTTGTGCAAAATCAGTTAAACTTTTGTTTATAGAACTGTTTTCTGGCACCATGTATAAATGATAAACGCTTCCTCTTTACCAGTTACTTTTAAGAATTTATTTTATTTGACAGCATACATAGGACAAGATCGAAGCATGTACAAGAGAAGAAGATAGTATTACAACTTAACCTAGTAAAATGTGGTTAAGTTTTATTTCTTTCTCTCATATGTACTGAGCAATAAAAACCTGCAAGTGCCACACCACCATCATTACAGGAGAAACCAGGAAGTCTAGGAGGACTTTTGACTTGATAAAGTATTGAAATTGCATACTGTAAGTCGATTTTCAACCGCCTCAAAAAATTGAAAGGGCACTTAAAGTACCCACACCGCCACACCCATCTTCAAGAAACACCTCTAATGCTGTCAAAAGCAATCGCTAAGGTGCAAAATAGTTAGGAAAAAATTCTGTTGTTCTACAAATGCATACATATATATACTCAAACACTAAGGCCAGGTCGTGATTTTTTCCGACTAGATCAAAGAAGGTGATAAGAGAGGGGAATGGAGGTGGGGAGTCTTTAATATGTTTGTACAAGTTAAATTGTCATCATGGCTTCTCCCATTTGATTGATTAATGTGGCACAACAGAAGTTCAAGGCAGTAGATTGCTGGGAATAATAGTTTAAATGGCAAATCACAAATAAGTGATATCTCAGGGTGGCTTTTTACAATTTAGCCGAAGATAAGTACCTAATCTTTATAATAATGAACAGTAGAGCTATTTTTCTTCAATGCCGTTGGTTTTAAGGCCATTTTGATGGATCTATAGCATTGTTACACATTGGTAACCACTTAGACAATTAATCATCTCCCTTTCTATTGTTGAATTCGTGGAAACAATCAATGCCATCATCAAGAAATGAGGAGAAAGGGTACAGGAATTCCTCCTCCGTAGATGGTAACCAGGGGTCGACACTAATATAATTGCTAAATGATGTATCCAACGCAAAGGGTTCAGTCCAAAAACTCTCAAAGGGTTCAGTCAATGATTCTACTGAACTGTTGCTATCATCTGCAACCCAGTCTACACAATCAAAAAGTGTGGAATCACAGCTCAAGGAAGATATATCCGTATAAGCATCGAGAGAATCAGCAGCAGAAGCGTTTGGATCCATTTCTCTCTTTTGATCAGTACTGGAACCAGATGTAGACATTGCAGAAGATTGCTCATTTTGATCTGCATCATCCATAGTCTGGGATCTTTCACTAAGTTGAGTTTGTTTGTTGCGCTTTTTGAGATGCGTGTGCCAATGATTTTTTATATCATTATCCGTTCTTCCTGGTAATTTTGCTGCAATGGCTGACCATCTGTTGTAGGGAAAATACCACTGAGTTAGTACTAAATTCTATTACCTGAACATCATTTCAGTCTCAACAGCCATACATTGGATGTTGAGGCGAATTTTAGCCCTAAAATCATGGCAAGAATTACTAGAAAAACGACTTTAACTTCATACCTATTCCCATATTGTTCATGTAATTTGATTATTAGATCCTCCTCTTCGATGGTATACTTGCCTCTTCTAACACCAGGCTTCAGGTAATTCATCCATCTCAGTCTGCAACTTTTGCCACATCTAGATAGACCTGAAAGACACCTTAAATTCGTAAGAGAAGCATATAATCAAGAATCAGACCAAAAAAATTTGCAAACACGAACAGTAGCTAGCTATAATCTGTTGACTTTGTTAGACTGATGAAATGCATATCAATTTTGAGGAACAAAATATCCTGAGCTGCTTACCGGCAAATTTAGGCAGCTGCCGCCAGTTCCAATGGCCATATCTTAGAACATAGGCTCTTAGCTTATTGTCTTCTTCTTCACTCCATGCCCCTTTCTTCACTCCATTTTTGTCAACTGATGGGGCTCTCACCATTTTTTGCTTCTCTATTGCCTACTATCTTTCTCAGCCACTCTCAGAAACTATTGATCTTCTCTTCAGGAGAGAAGTGAAGTCAACTTGTGCAAATGTCACTATATATACAAGCACAAACGCGCAGAGACTTGGAAATACAAACGTGTTCAAAAGTGTAACTTATCGTTGAAAAGTACAAAACGTGTCTTGTCTTTTCTACATCGGTTAGACCTTACAAGTTTAGCATCCAGTAGGTCGTAGGCAGGTTCCTAACATTTCTAATGGTACATGCAGTGAAACATGTGGCTAATAAGTCGCCTTCAACTTTAGCTTAGATTTTCAAAATTTGTCATGTGTAGTTTAAACCTTTGAGTTTTTTCCCCCCTCCAATTCTTGCTCGATTATGTTAAAGGTATGGATACATTTGTTAATTAAGATAAACTCTATTGTAGTTACGATTCTATTAATGGATTTTAAATTTATATCCCTCTTGAAGTTGTATGTTAGCTCATATGGTATTTTGTAAAATCTTTTCATTTTGCAAAAAGAAAAAGGAGAGAGAAATGTTAATGTCACTTGACTTTCTTATATTGGCACTTTCACTATCTATTGATCGTATAATCTAAAAAATGGAAATTATATCATAAAAAAGATAGTAGTAGGAATACCATTATCAATTTCCCGTGACTTAATGGTTACTTTTAGTTGGATTTTGTTTCCTCTTGGAGTGTGAATTAGGATTGAATTTTTTAACCTCTTACAGCACTATACTTGGAATAAAATCTAAGTAGCAAGCTTTGATGCCATGGTCTGCTTCGAGTACCATTGGTGCTCGATATATGAATAACCTATATATAGTTTGTTAGGGCTAATTTCATTTTGTACCTCCAAACTTGTATCATTTTTTCACTTTGCACCCTAAACTCTCAATTTTGAACACCTTTTAGCCTAAATTCTCAAGTTTATCTCTTTAACTCTAATCAATAATAATGCTAGCAAAATTAATGGAATAGAGAATCATATAAATCAATGATAATTTACTGAAAGTGGTCAAAAGGAGCAAAGAAATCACAAGTAGAATAAAATATATATCGTCATTAATTTGCATGATCTTGTATCTCATTAATTTTGCTAATAATATTAATTATTAAATAGAACACACTTTTGTCTAATTTTCTCTAGTTGTGATTCTTTTTTCCCCTTGACCACATCCAACACATTAGTATTGATTTGTATGATCCTCTATTTTGTTAATTTAGCTAACATTGATATTAATTAAATTTAACTATGACAAACTTAAGAATTTAGAGTGTAAAACATTTAAAATCGAGAATTTAAGCTGTAAAGTATCCAAAATTGAAACTTAAGGTATAAAATAAGAAAGTGGTACAAGGTTGAGGGTGCGAGTGGAGTTAGTCCTATTTTGTTATGAGCTCGAGTCTAGGATGATTTGGCACCATATGTGATAACGCAATTGAAGATTCAAAACCTAGTAAAATTGACAAAGGCACAACTTAAATCTTTCCTTGTTCTTTTTTGTTGTATGTACCTACATTCGCCAAAGATGAGTGGTTGTCTACATATAACACATTTGTTGAACAAAGAGCCCCCAGTGCAATGCTCTGTATACTTTGTCAGAACTCAGAATCATTTTTAATTAGCCAAATAAATGGTGTGATTCAACTTCTCTAATTCACCGCGTGTACTATAAGCATCCAACTAAACATATTAGACATTATAATCACACGTTCAATACGCGTAAAGCAAGAAATAATTTATACAGAAAAAGGGAAACAAGCACATGATGTTTTTCTCTCCTATGTATTTATTCTAGTGTGTAGCCTGATTTCATAGAGCAAGGACCCTTCCTCATGATGAGACAAAATTAAAATAGTTACAGGTACAGACAATTATGCAATGTCATACTCTATAATTATGGATTATTATTTTTTTTAACACTATCACTTTTGAATGCTTGCGCAATTTGTATGGCGTCATACAATTTAATTTGTTGCAATCCGGACAAGGAAATTGTTTCTTGAGAGTGCTTCCAGTATACATCGTTATCATATTGTATTTTTTTTTTCATATTTGTTTGAGATTTTGAGTGGATTCATCCCCCCTTTTGGTATGTACATGAGTGGAACCATCGTGATTCACGAATATAAAGACTGCAAGAAACATAATGATGAATGGATCAAAGTCTTTGCCGGAAATAAAATAACAAGATGAAGTAATTAAGCCGTTCACATGATCACATAAGGGGTTGCTTTCTTTAAGAGGGATGAAGGAAATTGTTGATGCTGCCCTCTGATTACGTTTTCAGTATATTTTTATCCAACAGTTCAAGAATTTTGTGTGAATTTGTACCTCAAAAAGACACAGAACACTTCTAAATTCTGAGAGTTAAAATTTCTCCTTAAATGTTCTGCAAAAAGAAAACACAATCACGAGATTGCTGATATCTTGACTTGTAATTTGATAATAAAGTGTGTTAGAGATCATCAAACTATTCTAAAATCACACTTAACCCATTAAACTATTTTTCGTTTTCTGCATGGTGAAATTGGATTATAATGAAAACCCAATGAAATTGCCCTATTCGTAGATTAAATGAGATGCCTGTCGACCCCAAGGGCACCAACAAAATCCACTGATCATATCATCACTGGCTAACGCCTCCAACTTTTGCTCCACCTTTCAACAACACAAAAACATCCAATTGAGGGTTGCTTGTGAATCAACTGATAAGAGTGTCGCAACTAATAATATTTCAGAGAGAAATACCATTCACTTAACTTGATGGCCTAAAGTGATTAGCAATGATGCAATATCATAATCACATAATTGTCCTTTCTTAAAGTAATTAAAGAGTATAAGTGCCCAGAATTTTATATTCAATGAGCTGCTCATTTTTGACTATGGTTTGGCTAACTGGCTTTATCCATTTTCAGCAGAAATATTAACTTTTGCTTGGAAAAAAAAAATCCTAAACCAAATCTAATGATCTAATGACATTATTTAAGAAGTATCTTAGGAAGGTATATTCTTGATATAAAATAAGATGAAATAAGGAAAAGAACATTGACGTGTTGTTTGTGTTGTCAGCTGGCAAACGTCATCGGTGAGGTTTACATTGGATAAGGAAATAAAAAAATGGAAATGACTTTGCACTATTTTTTTGACGGCTTTCTACAAAAATAATCAAGTTTTTGTTAGAAGCTCCAAAGATAGTCTCTTTTAAAGGCTTTCCTAAGTTAGGGATTTTGTGACTTTGAGTAGCGAATTCCTGCTAGATTGTACACAAGCACGTTCACTGTCCTTTAAGTTCTAGGTATTCATATTTTTTCCTCTTAAAATTTTAAAAATTTAAAAATTCTTATGTATTTTAATTTATTTGTCCCTCCCGTCCCTCCAAAAAATTTCAAAAAATTTAGTTAATTCAAAAGTTTATATGCATATGTATTTCGTCTCCTCAAGCTACATTTCTTGATTCTATCCCGGATTGTACATATAGGTCTGAAATAAACAAATATGTTTAATCAGACAACAAAACTTAGTTGATTTCCCATGAAATTTTTATGTATAACTAACACACGTGATGAAATACATTTTGAACAGTGTTAATTTTCTAGAACAATTTCCAAATTAATTTTATTGAGGTGTAATAGAGAAAAGTTCTCACCAATGTAATGGTAAAAAGCCTAGTCCCAAACTCTTGCTTTCACAATTGAACGTTGACTTTGACTTTTCGAATTCAGTACTTGGTATTATAACATCACATGTTTTTCGAAAAAAAGTACTATAACATTGCATTAAATTTTAGTCCTTCATTCCTTCCAAAACAAAAAAGAAATTTAGTCCTTCAAGTTTCTTATCAAATCAAATAAGTCTGTGACAAAGGTAGTAGTCTATCACTAAAGAGTAATACTTCTAGCATCATGGTATCATAGGATTTTTGTCTCATTAACAATGTTACGCTTGTTGATTCTAGAAATCCATATATTCTCGTCCCACTCTCAACAAATTACACATGCATACTGCCTTTTATTTCCAAATACAACGTTCATCAAACTCGAAGATTTGTATCTTATTTGTAGTACACTACAAAAATTTGGAATAATTACCCTCAAAAAAAGTTTTTTGAATGGCCGTACCAAGCTAAAAGTGACAATCTTTGAGATACTGCTATGTAGTATTATCTATTCTTGGAACCAATCCACACCATCATGAACAAAAGACCAGAAAAAGTAGGCAAATTCTTCCTCCAGTGGCGGTAATTAACCAATGAACATTATCTTTATTTGAAGTATCCAAGTCAAAGGGCTGCGTCCAATAACTCTCAAAGGGTTCAGTAAATGGATAGTCCACTGAAATGTTGCTATCAGAAAGTGTGGAATCAGAGCTTCTAATGGAGCACAATTCACTGCAAGCAAGAGGTGCAGCTGCAGCGGCAATATTAGGCCCCATTTCTCTCTTTTGGTTGGAATCATAAGCAGACATTGCCGGAGATTGCTTGAGTTGATGATCACCTTGCACCACATGCTGTGATTTTTCACTAGTTTTTTCCATGATGATTTCAGTTAATGTATGAGCTTGATTCAAGCGTTTACTAAGACGACCATGCCAATAAATTTTGACTTCATTATCTGTTCTTCCTGGTAGCTTCCAAGCAATGGCTGACCATCTGTAGTAGGAAAAACATCACTACAGTGAGTAATTAGTATGACCTAAACATCTTTTTAGCCCTAAAGCACGGCAAGAATTACTAAAGTAATGTTCGTAAAAAATCATACCTATTCCCGAATTGTTCATGTAGTTTGATGATTAGATCTTGTTGGGATCCAAGCTCGGAATAAATTACTATTAAGAAATCAAGTACACAATAATTTAATGACAAACAAGCCACAAATATGAATAATAAACGACACACAAGATTTAACGTGGTTCGACTCCATCATTGATGTTACGTCCAAAGAGAGAAAACATGTTTTTTATTATGAAAGGGAAACCTTATACAAAAATACAATTTAAATCGAAATCTAACCCTTGTATACCATTTTTCATCTCCCAAGAATCATTTCTCATACCCCGTACA